TAGTCCCATGTGCTGAAAGATGGTATTATCTTTTCTTAGTAATCGAATATTGAAAATATCACATAGATAGTCAGAGGTAATGAGTACATTGCGTAATGGCCATTGTAGTTCTTCTACTGCACATTTTGACCCCATTGGATCCCACTGGATCCCATTGGATCCCAGTGGATCCCATTGGATCCCAGTGGATCCCATTGGATCCCAGTGGATCCCATTGGATCCCATTGGATCTCATTGGATCCCAATGGATCCCAATGGATCCCAGTGGATCCCAGCGGATCCCAGCGGATCCCAGTGGATCCCGGGATCCACTTTTTCCCCCTTGACACACACACCCACACCAACACCCCACACACCCACACCCACACCCATCCTAGTTGCATAAAGCCTACAAAAAAGAACAAAAGAAGAGCAAAAATTTCTGAAAAGTTACAATGTTACGAAAAAATTAAAAAAAACCTAGGCATGTTATAGGTTTTGATCGGAGAACTGAACTGGTTGCTCAATGTATTCGAAGCGAAAAAATATAATGAATGGGCTCAGTTCTTTCTAAAAGAACTGGTTACTCAACGAAGTTATCGGAAAAGGGACTGATTACTAAGGCAAGTTTTTCTAACAAAGAACTGAGTAATGACTTTAGTTCGGGAACAAAGGAGTTGGTAAGAGGAGTGGGAACTATCACAGGTCTAGTAAAAGCTTCCCTTTTTATGCAAATCCCACCGAAAACACATGCGCACAAAACAAATAAGAGTTTGTTCCTTTCTTGGTCACAAGACGCGAAAAATCGATATATATATCCGATCGGCTCATGTATGAAGAGTTTTTGAAGTTTTTCTAGCCGTTCTTCATCCAGTAGTGTAATAACCGATTGATACTCATCTTGTTGAATGATACGCCATAATGATGGATCAGCTACAGTGCTTGTCCACTGTGTTGGATCCCTCACCATTAGTGTATCACCGCCCACAGCTTTGTATGTTTGTATTGAAGTTTGTTCGAAGAATTTATTCTCTAATTTATTCGCGAATTCACCACCGACATGAACTGGAGCTGGTTTAAAAATCGAAGTAGCGAAGGACGCCTCAACTTTTAGCCGCTTTTCTTCTTCTTCGGCTTTGTTTCTGACAGAATCCATTTCCGTATAATAAAGATGACCACCTAAAACAACTCGGCGCGGATAAATATGGCCATATTCCAGAAGAACTTTCTGCAATTTCATAATTTGTTCACGTTGTGTACCAATTGACAGAACAGCATCAATTGCTTCGATGAATGCAGGTGTTAGTTCAAGATAAGATGAATGAAGCTGCACAATTGCCCGATGAATATTATAGCAACATGTGAAATATACAGTTCGTTGTGTATTTGCCTTCGATTTATTCTTCAAGTATTCTCCATTAATACCAAGACTAATAAAATGACTAGAAAATTCCGATTCATTATCGAAAAATTCACTTGAAACAAATGAACTTTGCATCTCTTTGTCTTTCATATATGCACGAATATAAGATTCATCATTATGTTGAAATTTGGGATGAACATCATTGGATGATTTGAATTTGAATATGGGATCAAAAGCACGTTCAGGAATACTCTTATCCATTCGAATACCACATAAAAGATTATTATTATCAAATATTTTTTTCCACATGTCACTACCTAGATCAGTAGCTAGGATAATCTTATTTTCTGAACTTTTTGGTGTTGAAACCGGTATTTTTATTTTGTGAAAACAAGTTTTTGTTGATTGATTAATCGGTTCAGTACATTTCAGATCAATCTTTCTTTCAGGTAACTTGGTTGTTCTCTGTGGAACTGGCAATTCAGTTGGTGTTTTTGCCTCAGTACTTAATTGAACAAAGTTGTCTTGAGTTAATAATTGACTAATATTAGTTGAGTTTTCATCATCTATGTGTAATTTACAATGTTTATTATCCAGAAAACAAGTTTTATTAGATAAATCGTATCGTTCCTTAAGTTTAGTACGCAGTGCGGCAGCATTACCTGAATGGGCAAATTCGATACGATGTTGTATTCCATCGATATTAAAACGTACCACTGACGTTTCTTCAACAGACGATTGACTTGTAGCCATTACTCAAATAATACCTTTTATTTATTTTTATATAAATGACAAAAGATAATAATTCTGCATTTTGTTTTTATACTACTTTTGAGTCATTATTTCGACGTATAGATAAAAAAGAGACAATCAAAAACAATGATTCATTTTTTATTATACATGTTACAGAATAAAAAGAAATCTCAAGGGGCTACACAAAGGCTGTATTTCGTATGACAGGGAAAATTATTTTTATGAGGTACCGGTAAAGCAAACTTTCAGTAAAAATTTTCCTTCTGTACTTTTTTTACATCATCTGATGCTGGAAAAAAAACAGTCTCTCTACGATGATTAAGAAGAATAAAAAAAAAATCAAAATTCTGTCAATATTATTTATGTTGGAAAAAACCAACTTTAGGGTGTGGGTGGGGGTGTCGTGTGATTATTCATCTCATCTACACCCGCACCCACACCCTTCACAATACTATTCAATTGTTGTCGTTATAAGACATTATATTATTGTTGATTCTTACAAAAGTACTTTCAAAAACTATTTCATTAGACACATTGACGATGTTAGAATTTCATAAAGAACTATAAATAGAATGAAGCTGAATAGAAGGTAATTTAAAATGCAGTGTCATTCTATGATTTGTAAATGACTTATTATTATTTTGCTTTGCACAAAAGAGAATTAACATTCGAAACGACTGCATCAAGTTCATGAGTGCTTTTTTTTCGATTTCAGATTGAATGCTAATGTTCAATCGAAACTGTTGAAGAGAAATAGAGAAAAAATATTTGAATAATGAACTATGAATAATTTTTCATACAACTACACTAAGATGAAAACGCAGATGAGCAATCTTAATCTCGAAAACTATTTTGATTTTCACTAATATTGGTATCTTAAATTATAAAGGGTGGGTGTGGGTATGAACATGGGTGGAGATGTGGACGTGATGGCGGCTGCAAATGTGGATCTACCTGTTGTTCCACAAATCAATTTGGACAATAACTCATCCATTGGCTCCCACACTCTCACCCAGATCCTGTAGAGTTATTGCGATTGCCTTCGCTTACATCCGAACCCACGTTCTTCCTGTAATCCATGGTTTATCTCGCACAACACATTCACATTTAAATATATTCTCTAAATTATTTGTTCTCGTGATTTTTGTTGTATCCGAAAATTTATGAAAAAAGTGCAGCATTAACAGTATGCTTCATCGGAGTAAAACGGGTGCTGAAGGCAGAACAGAAAAAAACATTATGTTGTTGACACAAAAAAAGGACTGTTGGGAAGAAAAGAAATAGACTGTGTGTTGGCGATAAGTTATTTATTTGTTTTGCGTCGACAATTTGCATGACAGACACGTGTAGTCTACGACAAAAGGCGTTGAATTGAGAAAAGGTAGGCGGTAGTCGGGAAGAAAAGCCCCAGTGTTAAATTTAAGTCTATTTAGAATGGCGAGTGCTAACATCGAAAAAAGTACATTTTGCATCAAATGTGGGAATAAAAGTGGTGGCATATTCATGTGTCACGGATGTGGATAATCGTTTTGTTGAAAGCATACTGGAGAACATCGACAAGATCTTGCTCGTCAAATGGATATAATTGGACAAGAGCATGATTTACTTCAGCGAGATATAGGGCGTGAGTGTGGCTGCAGGCGTGGATGTGAACACGAGTGTGGTTATGGATGTAGTTCTTCGTTTATCCCACACTCTCACCCCACACTTAGACCCAGATCCAGACCCATATCCAGACCCACACTCACACCCACATACCCACACACTCACACCCGCACCCACACCCGCATACCCACACCCACACCAGGATTTTAGGCTAGGTGGAGCTTAGCCCCGCAAGAATTTTCGACCCGTCTTAGGAATAATGTAAATGTATAACAATATGTATTATAACTCACGATTCGAACGTAATATGCTCTTCTTTATAGTTGAAAATTTTGTTGTTAAATAGAAATAAACATATGACTGAACTTTCGTCTCTTTATTCTTGTCTCTTTCTATTGAAATTTTTATAGTGGAATGGACGAAGAAAAATGACTTTTCACAAGTGAATATTTTTCGTCCGTCTCAGTATAAAAATTTCAATAGAAAGAGAAAAAGAACAAAGAGGAAGAAGAAAGTTCAACCATATGTTTATTGCCATTTAACAACAAAATTTTCAACTCTGATGAAGAATGTGTTACATTCGAAACATCTTTTATAATATATCTATTGTTATACATTTATATATTTCATTTTACATTAGTAATTGTAAATTATAATCTATATAAAATATTTAATGAATTAGGCAAGAACTAAATATTTTTAAAATAATCAATACAACCTTCTAAGACGGAATGTATTTTCATTCTCTCCTTACAATAACAGAAATCGCTGTATTCTGATAAAAAGAGATTCAATGCAGCCTTCTATAAAGTTGAAATAAGCTGTTCATAACCTATAAAACTTCATTGAAACTTGTATTTATATTGACTGTATTTTCTTTTATTCAAAGGCACATGAGTTCCCCCAAAATTAGATATATACGTGAAAACCTGAAATTACTAACACTAATATACTTTTGTATAAAAAATGTATTTTTCTAAAATCTCGCCAGAGGGGCTCAAAGGTCCGTAGGAGAAGTTCAGCCCCACCTAACCCACCCATGGCTCCGCCACTGCATGTTTCTCTGCACAACACGCTATTTGTACAGAAGGATGGGTTTTCAGAGCATTCCAGTGTCTCTCTTATTAAGTTTATAATACCACACCATCCAATAATTATAGGGAAACAAAGATAGCACGTTATATGTGTAATAGCGAATTATCGTTGAACTATTTTGAAATGCTCAAAAAGCTTGAATTTAGAAAAAATTCCAAAGGTCAGACACAAAATCAGAAAATCAGATAGTGATCGGAAAAAAATTCAAAAATCGGAATTTTTCCTGCCATATCGGAAGATCTGGCAGGTCTGGACAAGACCAATGTTATCAAGCACATGTCACTATCAGACAAGTTTAAATTAAAGATTTGTTCATCCGATCGTTTCTTTTTATAACCAACTTATTTCTTAGAAAGCAACTATAGTGAATGCCATATTTATTCATATCCATATCAATTGTTATATGACGATGATATAACAAATAGTTTTCGAGGTGGAATATTTAAATGTATTTATAAAGTGTATTTATTTGTTGAATGAGGGCGCGGGTGTATGATTGTTGATGTGCATATGGGGGTGGGACTTTGAAGCGAGTGTACAAGTCGTTTTGAGTTTGGATGCCAGTCTTGTTACAATCAACAACATTCACACCCACACCCAATTGAAAAAGTGTTGTTTTTAGTTCGGCGTTAGGTGCTTCCGCCGGAACAGTTAGCATTGATAAATTTGAATATATCGTTTGAGTCACCGGTGACTTGGATTTGTGGCTGACAGTCGCCGCTGACCGCTGCTGCCTATTGCCGATGATAGTCAACATTCATGCAATAGACAATGATCGGCAGCGATGACCGCAGTTTTCGACATTCATGTGCAAATTCTTCACCTGCATCGGCCCCATGCGTCACAACCACGCATTATATCATATTATTATTCAGCTTGCACTTTAGAATAGTGAGCGCTTCATCCGATGTTTCGCTTCCTAAATATTAAAATTGTAACATTCTTTCATCTGTCCGAACAGAGAGTTATTATGACTGTTTGTGATTTTGGCATCACGCTCAAGAACAAAACGAAGCACACTACATAGGTCGGATAATGTGGAGCGGAAGAATCTGGTTGCTTTGCTTGATGACAAACTCATCGACGAAGGAATGCTCTGCATGTGTTAGCAAGCCCGATTCGTTCACTTTCACATAATACGTGTTTGAGTCGGCACGCATCTCCTTCCCTTCATAAAAACTATCTTTGACTTGATACATTTTACCGAGTTTGACAAGGCTGCATATCAAATACATGGGTGTGTGTGGGTATGGGTCATCTCTTCATACTCACACTCACACTCTCGTTGAGTTGCTGCGAATTCTGATAGCTACATTAGTAATTGTTGTACTAATCGAATGACCAGCTAACAGATATTGATCACGATGACCAACTCTATCGACTATACGGGCACAAGCCATCGAATCAAGTGTTACACACACTGAAGAGATACTTTAAATCTACGGATATGATACCACACAAACAGTTGATATCCAGAGCAACCGGTGTTTGGCTATAGATGCTTACTATCCATCGTACAATATTATGGCTATAGTCATAAGCAGTTTAGAAACAGATTGTAATCATTTTCAAAATAGATACCATGGAGATCATTTAGCTTTACATTACCAAGTGCAGTAGGATGATGATCCGCAACCATAGAGTCCTTACCAATGTATTGAATACATATTTCATTTTACAATGATTGAATATGCTCACTGTATACAAAGGGACTGTGATTGAATCTCAATTTCTATCAAACAGTCTATTCAATTCATTTTTCAAAGCACTATTGTGTCCTGTAAACGCACTAAACTATTAGCTATACATACTAACACTTTCGGTATGCATCTACATTATTAGATCTTCGCTTAATATCATCATTTGCATTAAGCAGTAACAATGATTCTTTTATTTCCCACGTGAAGAAAATAGAATCTATCAATTTCAACTTGTCACAAATCGATACAAGTAAATGTATTTACAGTTCGTTTTTATATTGGCATCTAGCGCAGTGACAAAAATGGGTATAACATAAACGTCAAATACATCGAAACAATATTTTCAGGCATGCTGTTTATTGTTCATCTACCTTTGAAATCAAAAGTTGACATTTTTGAAGATTCACTATTAGATTAAAAGTGAACTCGACACTTCTGTGTGTCTGTAGTGAGTGAATAAGCAGAGTTCAGTGGTATATCTAAAGATTCTTTAAGCCAATTGCTTGTTGAGCTAGGTACATCAACAATACCAACTATTATGGCATCTAACGATGAAAATTAATATGATGTTGTAAAACGGTGGCTTGATTAGATCTCTTATGATGAAGTCTCGCATACTAAATTTATTTTGTGAATTACTTTGACTATTTGAAGTCAGTCATACATAAAATGTATCTAAAACAGAAGGTAAGTATGAGTTTAAATATTCTGTTCAGACACCTACATCTGACCCATCTATAATGTATATTTTATCAAATATCATCTTCTATAAATAAAAGATTTAGTAAATCCTAAAAAGAATTGCATAAATATCTTGTTCAATTTCCTGTATTATTGACATAAATTTTTCTTGGATGAATAAATAATTGCCTGAACAAATATGTATTCTACATTTTTTAGCGAATTTGGGATTATATTTTCAACTGTTTTGTGTTGATTTTCTATGTATTGATATGAGTTTTAGCGTCATAATTGATTTTAATATACATAGATTAAAAAAATGCAGGAAAAAGGAAAAAAATGAATGACTACAGTATGAAAAATTTATTTTTTAGATTTTTTGCTTCAATTAAAACCACAGACTTTTAAAGCAAAATAAAATTTAAACTATTTCTCTGATTCTATTATTACTTTTAATCCATCAAAGCCAATAAGAATATAATTACGCACAAAATTATTATTGTTTTATTTACAAAAGAAAAAATAATTTGAGCAATATTTTTAATGTTAAGATAAGTACTGTAAATGTTTGGATCAAATAATTTTCTCAAAAACGTAAAAATTGTGTCGTCTTTTTTTGATGAACTGTTTTGTAGATTATTTTATGGGTCAAACATAAGAAGACATTCCATAGACAAATCACATGTTTTAGCTTTCCTCTCTTCTTGGATGTTTAATTTAAAAAAGGAAAACTTTTTGTGCAACAGCATTCTTGTTGAAATATATTGTTTGTTCCTATTAATTAATCGTCTATTGATTAAGTCTACCTAATGAAGAAATAAAATACACACGCAAGCCAAACTCAACCATTTCAGATCCTATGAAATAGCAAGAATTTTAACAGGATTCTGTTGAATGTTGTCACAATCTCTTTTACTATATATTGGTGCCTTATGACAGTTAAAATCAACAAAAAAAAGAAGTCAATCATTCGATTGTTTGAAATCGTATCAAAGCTTCAGAAGGCTTTTCTGATAAGATTGGACATAATCCAACTGTTGGATTCTATGCGCTGACAGTACATTTCATGAATAACAAAGTAAAGCACGGCTTATATTAAAATTCGTGGCTTTTTAAAAATACACAATTTTTTACTGACTATGTTACAAGAAGTAAATAGAAAAAATATTGATATTCAATACCATTGACACGATAAAATAATAGCAACGATCATTTCAATATAAACATATGGATACAGTAACTTCTGTTTGTATTCACGACAAAGATTATAGTAGTCGCAGAACATTAGGTATTACAAAGAAACATAATTTATTATAAGATAATTGATTATTTAAATAAATTTGTAGCACTAACCAATACGTCTTTTGTTCGTACATGTGATAAGATGCTCCTGTGACAATACTGTTAAAAACCAATATGATTTTGGAATTTCATGGGAAGTTCTTAAAAAGAAGCAAGAAAAAATCGCAATAAGTAGGGCGTTGGTGTTAGTGTGGATGACAGACTCGGAGTTGTGTTGAATCATACGATATCCACGTCGACGCCCATCTTTATGATATGTTAGAGATTCTTTCATCCCTGCGATATGCATACATTATAAAGATGTATTATTTTCAATGATAATAACAAAAACTGTTCGATAAGTTGTCTTTACCAAGATTGAAACCCTTTGCGCAAGATTTCTCGTATTATAATCTTTAACATTCAGCTTTCGTACTTAGGAAATATCTCAATAGTGAAAGCATAATTAAATTTAATATAAGCATATAAATTTAGTGAATGATAGAAAGAAATAATGAATGAAGTAGAAAACTAACAACTCTGTAACATAATACTTAAACTGTCAGTGTCATCATTAGCCACTGCAAAATCTAGTTTTTTGTCATTATTGAAATCACCAACAACAACAGAGGATGGATGGGATCCGTAATTTACTGAAATTAAGATCAGGCTTGAAAACGTGCCATTGCCATGTCCATGCAGCACACCGAGCTCATTGGTACCATAACTAGCGATGACTATATCCAGGATGTTGTCGTTATCAAAATCACCAACAGCTACAGAGTGTGGAGAAGAAAACGGGCCAGTTGAATATCTCATTTCATTTACAAAAGAGCCATTACCATTTCCAAGCAGGATATTCACTTCATTGTTCTCATTATCGGCGACAACGATATCGAGTCGAGTGTCGTTGTTGAAATCACCAGCAGCTAGAGACCATGGAGAATAGCCAGTTGCATAAGTAATTGTATTTTCAAAAGCGAGATTACCCAATCCGAGAAAAATACCAATACTGTTGGTGCCTGAATCAGCAACACCAATATCCATGCGATCATCATTGTTAAAGTCGCCAATGACAAGCGCTCTTGGCCGAGAATTGTTGCCACTTGTGAGCATCGTTTGGTTTAGTAAAACTTCATTAGAGTATCCAAGAAGTATGCTCGCCTCGCTGCTACCAGAATTGGTGACGACAATATCCAGTTGGGTGTCATTGTTGAAATCGCCAACAGCTAAAGAGGATGGTCGAGAGGCAGTGGAATACGCCTTTTGATGTGCAAAAGAGCCGTTCCCATATCCAAGAAGGACACTTACACTATCGCTATCATAATTGGTGACGGCAATATCCAGTTGGGCATCGTCGTTGAAATCACCGACAGCTACAAAGACTGGATTGTAGCCAGTTAAATATGTCATTTGATTTGCAAAAGAGCCATTACCATATCCAAGAAGGATACTCACCGTATTGTTACCACTATTGGGGACAACAATATCTAGTTGGGTATCGTTATTGAAATTACCGGTGGCTACAGAGCATGGATTAGCACCAGTTGAAGACGTCATTTGATCTGCAAAAGACCCATTACCATATCCAAGAAGGACACTCACACTATTGTTAAGATAATTGGCGACAACGATATCCAATTGAGTGTCGTTGTTGAAATCACCGACAGCTACAGAGTATGGATACAAGCCAGTTGAATACATCATTTGATTCGGAAAAGAGCCATTGCCATATCCAAGAAGGACACTCACCGTATTACCACCACTATTGGTGACAACAATATCCAGTCGAGCGTCACTGTTAAAATCACCGACAGCTACAGAGAGTGGTTTCGAGCCAGTTGAATACGTCATTTGATCTGTAAATGAACCGTCGCCATATCCAAGAAGGACACTCACATCATCGTTCTCCTTATTGACGACAACAATATCCAGTCGGGCGTCGTTGTTGAAATCACCAACAGCTGCAGACAGTGGATTCGAGCCAGTTGAGTATGTCGTTTTATTTGCAAAAGAGCCATCACCATGTCCAAGAAGAACTCTCACATTATCGTTCTCCTGATTAACGACTACAATATCCAGTTGGGTGTCGTTGTTAAAATCAGCAACAACTACAGACAGTGGGTTAGAGCCAGTGTAATACGCCATTTTATTCGTGAAAGATTTATTGTTGTATGCAACAAGTATTTGCACATTATCACTGCCATCATATGCAACAACAATTTCTGATCGTCTATCATTATTGAAATCACCAGAAGCGACAACTAACGGTGCGCAACCGAAATCAATTTCATAACTTCTTTCACTTGCGAATGCTTCATTCCCATTTCCAAGAAGCATTTCCACACTCTTCCTACCAAAATTAGCAACAGCAATATCCAGTTGAGTATCACCATTGAAGTCAGAAATGGTGACGGACACCGGGTGAGAATTCAAGCCAGTACTGAGCGTCATTTGACTTCTGAAAGTACCATTTCCATATCCAAGAAGGACACCTACATTATTAGTACCGTAATTGGCAACGACGATATCTAGTAGAGTGTCGTTGTTCAGATCACCGACAGCAACACATCGTAGACTAGAACCATCACCAGATGCGTAGGTGATTTCGCTTTTGAGAGATCCTCTGTTATATTGAAGCAGTACACTCGCATTATGGTCACCACTATTGGCAACAACAATATCCAGTCGGGTATCATTGTTGAAATCACCAACAGCTACAGAAAGCGGTTTCAAGCCAGTTGCATACATCATTTGATCTGTAAAAGAGCCATTCCCATATCCAAGAAGGACACTCACCGTATTGTTACCACTATTGGTGACAACAATATCTAGTTGGGTGTCATTGTTGAAGTCACCAACAACTACAGAGGATGGTCGAAAGCCAGTTGAATACGTCACTTGGTTTGCAAAAGAGCCATCCCCATATCCAAGAAAAACACTCACATCAGCGTTCTGCTGATTGACGACAACAATATCCAGTCGGGCGTCGTTGTTGAAATCACCGACAGCTACAGAGCATGGATAAGCCTCGGTTAAATACGTCCTCTGATTTTCAAAAGAGCCATTACCATATCCAAGAAGGATACTAACCATATTGTCACCACTATTGGTGACAACAATATCCAGTCGGGTGTCGTTATTGAAATCACCAAGAGCCACAGAGTATGGGTAAGCACCAGTTAAATACGTCATTTGATTTGCAAAGGAGCTATTACCATATCCAAGAAGGACACTCACCGTATCTTCACCAGTATTTGTGACAACAATATCCAGTTGGTTATCATTGTTGAAATCATCAACAGCTACAGACGATGGTTGAAAGCCAGTTGCATACGTCATGTGATTTGCAAAAGAGCCATTACCATATCCAAGAAGGATACTCACCGTATTGTTACCACTATTGGTGACAACAATATCCAGTTTGGTGTCATTGTTGAAATCACCAACAGCTACACAGTATGGGTAAGTACCAGTTAAATACGTCATCTGATTTGTAAATGAGCTATTACCATATCCTAGAAGAACACTCACTGTATTGTTATCACTATTGGTGATAACAATATCCAGTTGGGCATCGTTGTTGAAATCACCAACAATCACAGAGAGAGGGTTGAAGCCAGTTAAATACGTTCTTTGATTTAAAAAGCCCTCGAAGTAACCAAGGAGAATATCTATGCTATCAGTGTCATTGTTAACGACGATAATGTCTAATCGATGGTCCTTGTTGAAATCACCTATGGCAAATGAGAGCGAGGAAAAAGATCCGGTTGAATACGTCAATGGCTTTGCAAATGCGCCGTTTCCATAGCCAAGAAATACACCTATATTGTTGGTGCCGTTGTTGGTGACGACTAAATCTAGTCGATTATCTTGATTGAAGTCGCCGACACCAATTGAGTATGGAGAAGCAGAATCAATGGAGTAGGTGGTTTGATTTGTGAAAGTTTTATTACCATTACTTAAAAACACACCTATCTGGGTAGTTCCATGATTAGCGACCGCGATATCGAGAAGTGCGTCGTGATTGAAATCGCCAACAGCGATTGAGTATGGATGAGAACCATAGTCAGTTGAAAAAATGATTTGCTTTTCAAAACTTCTGTTACTATTTCCAAAAAGTACGCCAACATTATTCGTACCATAATTGGCGATAGCGAGGTCTAAATAGTTGTCGTTATTAAAATCTCCAGCTGCTAATGAAGATGGAAGAGAATCATAACCTGTTGAATACATAATTGGAGACCAAAAGTTTCCATCGTTGTTGCCATAGAATATACTAATACTGTGAGTTCCGTAATTGGCGGTGGCAATATCAAGTAGTGAGTCATTATTGAAATCAACGGCAATAATTGCTATCGGACGAGATGAGTCTGTTGAAAGCTCTGTTTGACTTGCGAAAGATCCATTTCCGAATCCATGAAAGATGCCAATGTTGTTACTGCCAAAATTGGCTACTGCAATATCCAATCGGTAGTCATTGTTGAAATCACCAACTGTGACCATGTAAGGACTAGAGTAGGAACCTGTTGAATATATGGTTTGACTTATAAAAGTCCCATCACCATCTCCCAAATAGACAGCTATTTTGTTCACTATATGATGAGCAATAACCATATCCAAAAATGTGTCATTGTTGAAATGACCGACGGCGACAGATCGTGGACCATACTTATATTCAATTGGCTTTTGAGACGTTGATTTGAACTTGAAGCCACACTTTTGAACTAAACGATACGTGAAAGGTATGGAATGACTGATTGTTTGCTTCAGTGGAACTATCCGTCCTAGATTGTTTCGAATTATCACAATTTCTATAATATACTGTCAGAATTTATCATATGACTCTATTTAGAGACATTTCAAAACCGTCATCTTTCAAAAGAACTCTGCTTAGTTTCTTAGAATTTAGATAGAGTCAAATATGGGAATTCATCAACCAAGCCACCTGTCTGTTGTCATCCTCTCATTTACTGTAAAATTCTTTCGAAAAATGTATTGTCACACTGTTGTAGAATCGAACGGATATCAAAACTGTTGTGTTGCGTAATGCTCTCAATGATGCAACCAGTGTTGTGGATTGGTAATTACAATAACAAACAGAATATTACAGATTCTGCTACGAATGCTTGAAAATAACCATGGGCAAAAGTATGGCGATAGAGAAGGGGATGTAAATCTACTGACTGAGTAGCCGTGTACGAACAGCACAATATATAAGTGAATAAGACAAGAATAATCATACAAAAAGTAACGACCTACAATAGTGAGTGTATGTGTTAATAATTTCGTCATACGAACAACGAGTGTTCACGGTTAGTTTTTGAGTGACCAAAGTGCAATTATTTATCTCTGCTCTTTTCCGTACAATGAGCAGTAAATAGTTTATATCGATCCGTTCAATCACAAATTTACTTACACGATAATTTGTCTGATATCATTTTTCATAATACTTTTAAAATGTTATGAGAATTACTCATTTTTATCATCAAGACATGTAAACGATGATAAAACAGAAATGTACTTACTATCGGTTCACTTTGTGAAGATAGTCGATCACTAACAAGCTATTAGTCAGATAGAAATATAATTTTATGATGTATATACAACATTTTACTATTTCAAAGAGCGGTAAACGAGAAGAATTGACTATAATATAATCAAGAAGTAAGAAATCGCTGGAAAATACGAGAGAGAACACACGTGAGCCATTCAGAGAGACTGAAAAAGAAAACGAATGTATTGGAACATACTAGAAAACAGGACGCATTCGTATTCAGACATGATAGCAGAACGAAAGAAGACATAGATGAAACACATATAATGCTTACTTTCCTCTACAGGCAACATAAAGTGAGAAAATATTCAGAAGATATGTATCGTGAATAAGAAATATTTACTTCCGTCACGTTCTATGAGAAAATCACTTGTATTTTTTCTTATTCTTTCGTATTTCTATTATATCCAAGAACATATTGATGAGACAGAATAAGAAATTCAGAATAAGCTGCTGTTTTCATTCAGACACGTGAAAGAGTACCGTCAAAAATAATAGAGGAAGTGATTCAAGAACATTAAATAAGGTTAAGTTGATCTTTCTGCAACAAGTAACAATGTGTAACATCAGTTTGTAAAAATTAGATCGTGAAATTGTTGCTTTATTGAGATATGAAAAAAATATATAGAAAACGCAATAATCTCCGTTCTAAAGAAACATATTATCCTTCTTCCTCTAGAGCAAAGTGGCAATGGGATGATTCTTTCTAGAATTCTTTTCTAATCTATAATCCCTACCAATAAGTAAAATAGAGGGGTCCGACTTATTGACAAAGTATCAAATCTACTGGTGATGATCAATTTGAAATATAAAAGTGAAGCAGTTGTAATGCTTATTATTCTTTCTTTGCTTGATGATTTGCTGCGAACATGTGGATATCATATTTTATCATAATTTGAGTTTTTTTTATTATCAAAACTCACAATACTGATAAAACAGAACTGAATTAACTGTGAATTGTTTTCGTATTGAATACGAAGAATATAAAATAACAAGAACATACCTCGTGGTTTTGGTGAAGTAAAACAAACTTCCAGTATACCGATGAAAATAGCTATACTTGCGATCATAGCCAATACAAAGACTGGTGTGGCACTTTTATTAAGTATTGAACAGCAGCAATATTTCCTAAGGAAGAGCAACAACAACCATATTTGACATCAAAAGAAAAAGTTATACATATTCTGTCGAATTGTGTAAGTTTTTATTCGATTCATAGTGTTGTTGTAAACATTTCTCACATTACGTACATTTAAAATTGGCTTTACCATATCGTCTGCGTCAACGAAAATTCTCTTCTTAGGAAGTGAACCGTTGATCAATTTAGTTTTACCATCTATATGAACCATTTCAATCTATGAAGAGACAATAGTTAAGGAAGAAAACATCTCTAATACGAGCATATACGTATATCTCTGACCATGGAGATTTTTTACAGAAAACTATCGATGCAGTAAGTTTGTCTAACCCATTCAGTTGATATATAAACTTGCAACTTTTCTATACAATCCCAATGATTTTCAAACTACTCAAAGAATGTGTTTGATAAGTTGAGCAAACTGCACAAGGTTTTCGGGGATAAACTGATACTCGATCAAAACAGTTGCGCAAATACTGCAGTGAATTAAAACGATCATCAGAACTGCTGACACTTATTTAGTATTTGTTAGCAATTGTCGTTTGATCTGAATTTTTACACATTTGGACGAGACATATTTGTTCGACATTAGAAAGTGATGAACTGATAATATTTCGACAGCCTAGACCTTACTGAGACGAAATGGTCTAAGAGGATTTGTATTTCTTCATCTCTCTTCTCCAGTTACGATTATATATTATACCATTAGTAGCTACTTATAATATGATTTTGATGTACAGAAAATGCTTGAGATCATCGAAGACATCCTATTTTGAGCTGTTCTATATAGAGAACTTATTACTAAGTTAATTTTTGAAACCCTAATACACAATTATTCAGAGGACTCTGACTCGTGCTATGAGTCACTTCTATGCTGTACCAATCGTGTTACCATGTGTAACGGACGAACATTGGATAAAGTTTGGTATTTCAAAAACAGAATTTCATCAATTAACCTTTTCTGAGTTTGCGCAATTTGAGATAATGTCGAAATATTGCTTCCACCATATTTTCAGCAAGCCTTGGTTGACAGTATGTAAGTTTTTTTCTTCGTATTCCGTGATATCTTTGGGAACTCTTATATTTTTATTAATTCGATGAATTCGCTGTTACTTTTTGCTGCGATCCTTCTATTATCTAAGGCTACCAACCATAGCATGATCTGAAGGTTCTTTCAAACAGCTAATTCTCACCAATGAAGCGCAGTTTTTTGGCTTTTTAAGAATCCTACTTTTATGCATGCATGTATTCTATAACTTTCTATAGTGTTTCAAGGTAGTTCGCATGTCCTTTGGCCATTTAAGTTCACTTGCATGCAACACTTATAAATTTCAATGATCGAAATCTCTTTATGTCATACTTTATCAAAAAGGTTAATTGATGAAATTCTGTTTTTGAAATACCAAACTTTATCCAATGTTCGTCCGTTACACATGGTAA